AATTTTTAGCCTTTATCCATTTTTAACTTTGAAATAATTCTTTTTTTATGCTTAACTTTAAGGAGCATGTTTATTGTTAGGATGCCGATCAGATGTCTATAATGTTGCTGTCAGTAACCTTTATTATTTTCTTCAGAATGAACATCTACGACATAATTTTGAAACTATTTTAAGATAATACTATCTGTCGCTAATCCTACACTTTTCAAGGTCTTTGTTGCATAGTTGGATTGTCGCATCGGCTAAGCCGCAGCTTTAGTTAGAAATTAGGTGGATCTTGTCACTTACTTTGCAGAGGTGATCGTCAAGACTCATTGCTGGGGGATTTGTGTCATACCCTTCACGGAGCTTGTTACTTTAGATAGAGAACATTTTCTAGAGCTTTATTTGATTCAAGCTTAGGGACCAAGATTTATAATACAGGAGCATTTAGGTTCTTTTTATCAATCAGACCTCTTTGGAGTCATTATCGGTGATGCTTTATGAATTTGAGTTACTCAATTATTAAGTATACCTGGGAAGGTATTAAAAGTATTTATATATCATAGTGTAAAAGACATGTCTTTAAGTGATGCTCGAACTGGATGTCAGCCACCCAAAATTGAAATATTGATTCACAGGCATGGCTATTCGGCTTGTTCCGACCAACGAGAGTCAGCCATCCATAGATTACTACTTTCTTCTTAGCTAGAGGCTCTACGAAGATGAAAAAAAAAGGCATTTTTAGCTCAATATCTTTTGTTGCATGAACTCCTTAGCGTGCTCCTTGTTAGGCGTGTCTTTGGGATATATTTATCTTCATTGATGTTGATTTTCTACTTGTTGGTAGTATGCTCCATGTTCACCACATCTATTAGAAGGTTAAATCTGGATCTATCCAATGAGGTATGCCCAAGGATTCTTGTGGTAGAATCCTTGAGAGAGAAGTAAAGAGAAAGATAAAGAAGAGACATAATGAAAGATTATACATAGACTGGCCTTGTAGGGGCAAATTAAGGTATTCCCGGGCTCTGTGAACCATTTTATATATTATAATTAGAGGTTGTAAGAGAGAATAGGAGAGAGATCTCCCTACAAGTGTTGATCTTGAGGTAAGAGCCTAAAGTGATCAAAGACTAGAAAGGCAAAAAACCCTTAAAATATATTATGGTCACACTATTTAAAGAAGATAGATGGACAAAGTATAAAAATTACATGCTTTCCCCTTCTATAACTAGAGTGTTACAAGGTAGTATTGTCTTTTATCTGTGTCTTTTTGTATTTATAACTAATGTTAGCATCATTTTATGTGCTTATACCTTTTGATCAATAAGTCCTCAGGTCGGTCGATTGTATTGGTGTCTGCCGACTATTTTGACTACATATCAG